CTCTTGGGCAGTGGTACTTCAAGTGTGGTGCCTAGACTACTATATACAGTGGTAGAGATGGACATTTGAAGCCCTATTCCAAACTAACTAGTAACTAGAGAGACCTACAAAGTGACGCTTAGTAAAGTTAAACAGGATCTGATTCTTCTATGTGATAACAGTTGAGGGCAGCTACCACATGTGAGTACTTCCCTGCTATACCATGACATGAATTTGTAAAGACCACTGCAGTCTACAAAATTATGTAATAAAAGCCACAGAGCTTACAGGGAAATGAGTATGGGACATACAACAATCAAAAATTTATTAATTGGTGCTGGAGAGACGGCTAAGTTATTAAGAGGGCATTTTGCTCTTATAGAAGACTCCAGTTGAGTTGCCAGCATGCACACTGGACTGCTCACAACTTCCTGAAACTCCAGCTCCATACAGATCCAATGTCTTTGGGTTCTGAGGACAATGGCACATACATGAACATACCTACCCATACACCGGCACATGATTAAAAATAAATATGAAAAAAACCTTATCACTCACAAATTTCAAATGAAAAGTGGGGGTCTACTCAGAAACATAGCATATTTTTATGTGTTAAATGGGCAAATATACAAATACTATGATAAAATTGCCACTTTCTCTTGGAAGGAAGTGGTATTTGCTATGACATTTGGTGTTTGGGGAGCTGCCTCTTTTTTGAATTTATTTATTTTAAAAAAACTATCTTTTCTCATTTTACATATCAATCCCAGTTCCCATTCCCTCCCCTCCTCCCGTTTCCTTCATCCCCTTCATCCACTCCTCAGAGAGGGTAAGGCTTCCTTCCCATGTGCAGTTAACAAATCCTAGCACATTGCTTTGAGGCAGGCTCAAGGCCTTCCCCACTGTATCTAGGCTGAGCAAGGTATTACTCCAAAAAGAATAGGTTCCAAAAAACCAGTACATGCAGCAAGAATAAATCCTGGTGCCACTGCCAGTGGCCCCATAGTCTGCCCCAGCCACATAACTGTCACCCATATTCAGAGGGCCTAGTTTGGTCCTTTGCTGGTTCCTTCACTGTCAGGCCTGAGCCAGTGAGCTCCCCTTAGCTCAGGTCAGCTGTTTCTGTGGGTATCCCCATCATGGTCTTGGACCCTTTGCTCATATTATCGTTCCTCCCTCTTTTTGGCAGGACTTTGGGAGCTCAACCCAGTGCTCCACTGTGAATCTCTGCCTCTGTTTCCATCAGTTGCTGGATGAAGGCTCTATGGTGACATTTAAGATAGTCATCAATCTGAGTACAGGGCAAGGCCAGTTCAGGCCCCCTCTTCACTATTGCTTAAGGTCTTAGCTGGGGTCATCCTTGTGGGTTCCTGGGAATTTCTCTAGTGCCAGGTTTCTTGCTAGACCCATAATGGCTCCATCAATCAAGACATCTCTTTCCTTGTTCTGCCTCTTTCCTTCCCCCATCTTGACCATCGGGTTCCTCAAGTTCTCTTCCCCCCTCCCCTTCTCCCCTCAAGAGTTATCATGTAGTGGTAGAAGAGTTACCTGAAGTCGACAGTTTTGACAACAGATGTGGCTTTTAAAGCACAAAGTGACGGAAAATAGTTGAGCATGCCGAAGTGTACAGACATGAGCACTTTGTCATCTCCCAGGTAGCTCAGGACAGGTGGCTTCTGCTTTGGGCAGGAATGGAGGTGCGCATAAGCAAAAATGCAAAACCGGAGCTTCGTCTCGGAATTGCCCCACTCTATCTGCTGTGTTGGAAGAAAATTGTCTTGTCTTTTCACTAATAAAACACAGTCTGTTAGAGTAGAATTGAAATCATACATGTGTTCATACATCTATCCATTATATACACTACATAGGAATGTCATATACTGCACCAAATGTCATGTTTCTCCTTAGTTTATTATCTCTTAGAGTTCTCAAAACATCACAGAGATTTAATCCTTTAAAATATGCTTGCAACAACTTTCCCTCCTACCATACTTCTTACAAAGTAATCTTTTCCAACCCTCCGCCCGTCTCTCAATTTCTCTCTCTCTCTCTCTCTCTCTCTCTCTCTCTCTCTCTCTCACACACACACACACACACACACACACACACACACACACACAGTGTGAGGAATGCTTCCCATAAACACATTGATACACTGATTTTAAAAAGGGGACTTTAAAAGTCTGGGACATGTGATGAGTGGTTTTGCAATGGGGAAACACTGAAATAGAATGAATTTGTGCGGAAACAGAACAGACACCTATGAGAGAGTGTGTGGTGGGAAAGTATTCCCTTTTCATTTATTTATTTCTCACTTCCACTTTTGCTAATACAACTTATTCACTTTATAAGATAAGATATTGAATTGACCCCGTTGGGATTTCCATCTATCATTCTTGCTAGTTGACATCTCCAAAAGATGCAGCTTACACTGTTAATCCATTCACTTCAGCAAAACATGCCTAAGGGCATCGAATTCTTCCGTTTATCACTATTGAGTTTCAAGGCCCTGACAAGTTGAGAAGATGTAGCTGATCAGGCTGATGTGACGGCCTCAGCACTGGAGACTGGGACCCCTAAGACACCAAAGCTGCCGCCGTGAAGGCTTATGCAGGTGTCAGATGTTTTCCTGTGACAAGGTTGGCGGTGGACATAACTGCTTCCAGCTGGGCACATTACCAGGCAGGGAAGCCATAATGACTGAATAATTAAATCACATTGGTTTCTGATCATTGTTCTTATTAGAAAAATATCATTGCTTTGGGGTGATTTATTATGTGAAGTGGAATTTTCATATAAACACCATGATTTGCATTTATATATAATATATATTTGCATATATATATGTATCAGAATAGCTTACTAAAATCAAATCTCCAGAAAAAGAGGATGGGCTATCCATGTAAAGATGCCAAAGATGTTTAAGGGAATGTAAAAATTATAAAGATTAAAGTAACATTGCCCCTTGAAATTCAAACATATTTGCTATGCTTTCCTTTATTTGAAAGCAGCAGGGAGAGAGAAGCATTAACTCGCTCCATCTCTGTTTTGCAATTAGGTTTATGTACCTTGAAATCTCAAAGTCTGATATTATTAATAAAAGACACAGAATAGAAGAGTTTTGGGAAACGAGTACTTCATCTCTAAATGCAAGACTTGCTTCCCTGCCTTCATTTCCCCTCGAAGTGTCCTGGCATGGAGGGGCGGTAGAAGGTTGAGCAGAGCGCAGAGGAGCATTTTAATTCATAAAAGAACATTTCGTCTCATGGGGCCTAGAGCAGCTGCTCTCAAGCAGACAAGGACATTGCAGAAAGTCTCTTTCCCTCTTTCCCCTTTTCTCCCTCTTCCCTCCTCTTTCTCTCGCCTTTGAATTCCCAGCTGTAATGACTGTTTCGCACAACTCCAAGGATCAGCTCAGGGCACACAGTTTAGTAGTGACTTGGAAGGACAAAGCCGCGTGTTTCTCGCATTCTTCTATCTCCAAGGCCAACTAACTAATTTCTGGGGCTTAGTGTAAAATGAAGATGTGTGGCCTCTTGTGCGGGAAGCTGCATGAATGCTGCCACGAGGGTTAAAATGGAGAGTGTCCTCCTCTCTTTTGACTCATCAACAGTGTTTTGATTTGCCATTTACTGCTGTTCTTAGGAACGCTAAAATTTTATGTCATTAACATGAATTTTACCTTTTATCTTTGTATGCTCCAAAGCAAGTCTTGAATGTGAATAGGATCACTTTTAACTTGTGTAAGGAATTTCTAAAATGACACACTTTGTATTATGCAGTACATACCTGGCATATTTTTTAATCAGAAAGCTAGAAATACTACACATAACTAATTCAGTTATTTTTATGCTACTGTTGTTACTGCTACTACTAAGTTTACTAGTCCATTCTTTTTGGTGGTATTAGTGCTGCCCCCCAAATACTATACAGTGTTCTACTATTGAGCTGTATCCTCGGTCTTTTATTCTTTATTTTATTTATTTATTTATTGGGTTTTTTTTTGAGACAGGGTTTCTCTGTAGTTTTGGAGCCTGTCCTGGAACTAGCTCTTGTAGACCAGGCTGGCCTTGAACTCACAGAGATCTGCCTGCCTCTGCCTCCCAAGTGCTTGGATTAAAGGAGTGCGCCACCACCGCCTAGCTGGCCTTTTATTCTTAATTATTTATCTACCAGCACTTTTCACCTTTACATTAGTGATGAATAAGGAGAGACTAAGAGGTAAAGAAATGAGATATGCTTTCCTTTCCTTCTATGTTACCAATTTTAGTTTGAAAATTTGGGCAATATGGGAAAGTATGAAGAGACAATGAGATGGAGAACTCTAATCATTCTGTTTCTTAGAAGTTAATAATATTAACTTCTTTTAGTGATCTAAGCAAATTCCAGTTAACAGGGAAAGCACAGCCTCTTGAGGCTATCCAAGTCTAGAACTGTTGAGTTCCAAGTAACACGAAAATATGCTGGTTAGGCTGCATCTTGCTAGACTCCCCCCTGTGTGAAACAACTGAAATATTGTACTCCTTGGGTGTGCAAAGGGCCCCTAGGAACAGCTGGTGTACACATCATGTGCATCTATTCTTTGCACACACATGCTTCATGATTGCCTTTGAACCCACATAGGAAACACAAGTTCAAGATTCAACTACAAAGACAGTCAAGGCAATGACATAAACTACCATATCGAATGTGTAACTATTCTTTATGTCTGTCATGTGTGGCAGAAACCTATAGACATCTGGGAACCTACTGGCTATCCTGCAGCCTATGGGTGCCATACGAAGGGGCCCACTTCCTAGTAGGCTGGACTCTACTAATAGCTTATCTATACAAATTGTCCTTGAAATGATTCTGAGTTTGAAAGGTGAATTAACATCACTTTTAAGTAGATATCTTGGATATCCGATGAATTCATAAGGAATGCAGTTTGGCTGAGCTTGGTAGTTGGTACCAGAGTATGGCTATTGAATCATCTTCTCTGCATCCTTAACATTTTTCTTGTTTGCTTGCCATCCTCTCAGGATTTCCAGCTGGTGAGCTGCAGAAGCCTTTCTTTTGGGGAACAGAATACCCTCGGTGAGTAAATTAGAAAGGACTCCAGTCCTTGACAAGTTAGCAAAGGAGAACTTGTCACTTTGGCCAATGACAGACTATAGACTGTCTTCAAATTCTAAGTGACATGGCAACTCTTACAAAGGAAACCATTTAATTGGGGCTGGCATGCAGTTCAGAGGCTCAGTCTGTTAGTGTCATGGTGGTAAGCATAAAGGCATTCGGGCAGGCATCGTGCTGGAGATGTAGCTGAGACTTCTACATCCTGATCAGCAGGCAACAGGAAGAGAGACACTGGGCCTGGCTTGAACTTCTAAAACCTCAAAGCCTACCCACCAGTGACACATGTCCTCTAACAAGGCCATATCTACTCCAAAAATGCCATACCTCTTAATAGTATAACTCCCTTTGGGATCTGTTTTCATTCAAACCACCACATTCCAGTCCGTGGCCCCCATAGACTAGTAGCCATATCATAATGTAAAATGCATTTAGTTCAACTTCAAAAGCTCCCATAGTTTGTCACTGTCTCAGTATTGTTTAAAAGTCCAAAGTTGAAAGTTTTCTCTGAAACTCACGGTAATCTTTTAAACAGTCAATTCCAAGTCAATGGTTATTCAGCCGTAAGAAGGCATTGGAGATCTTATTAGTTTTCATCCGGTATTTGTTTTCTGATCCTTGTTCCCAGAGTATTTGACTAGATGGGAAAGTCAATTTTCTACACAGGATTTTCTTTTTCATTGCATTTCATCACTTGAAAGATTGCTGGGATAGAAGGAAATGGGCTAAAACCTTTCTGGGTGAAGAAACTGAAGAAAGGGGAGAAAGGTGCTTTCTGGGATGGCAGAGGGTGACTTGGCTGCTCAAGTCTACAAAGAGAAGTCATGTAAAAAAGATTTTAGTTTCATATCGGAGGGCTCTGAATGTCTAGTGAGGAATTTAGAACAGAAAATACTAAAGTTTCTAAAGAAGTGAGGTGATTAAATGTGTCATTAGAAATACAGCCAGCATAGCTGTACCATATAGGTCAGAAGGGACACGTTTGGACTTAGGGACAGCTGTTCGCAAACAGGCCATAGATGTATGTAATTGGTACTTTCTCTATAGAGTGGAGTTTCTCATAATATACCTTGTCAACAGTACCATTACTTTCTTATATGCCTTTTTATGTTCTGTGGTCCTTTAATGCAGGGAAAAAATTCGTCTTGATTTTAGGAGTTGAATCACTTGTGTTTGCATTTTGATATATGAGTACTTTTATATGATTATAAGCTAAATATCTCATACATATAGTAATCAGAGAGATATAATGGTTGTGTTTTAATTGGGCTTCCTCAGAAGCTGCCCCTGCCATGAGGGTTTAAATAGCTCTTTTGGAACATGGTGCCCGGAAACCCCAGCAGAAGATGGGCAGGTGCCACAGAGAGGGGAGGAAAATGACATGTGTCCTATGAGTCTGTTATGGCTGGAAAAGTGAGCTAGCACTAAAACTATACAAGCACGAAGCCTATCCTTGTATAATCCAACCTAGATTTCACTAGGTTAAACGCAAGGTGCATTTTTTTTTTTTAATTTCTGGGGAATAAAGTATTTCCTTGTCTTTTCTGACTTTTAGAGCAGGGTGCACATTCCTTTGTCCATGGCCTTCCTCCTCATCTTAAAAATGTCAAAGTAGCATTCCCTTTGACATAAATATTTGTCTCTTCTTTTCTTAAAAACACTTGGGGTTACTTTGGGCCCACTCAGATAATTCAGAGTTATCTCTCTCTTTTAAGGTCATCTGGTTAGTAGCCTTAATTTCATCTGCAACCCTGATTTATCTTTGTCATGTAACATACCATATTCACAGGTTCCAGGAATTAGCATCAGGGCATCGTGGGGAAGCCATTATTCTGCTTGACTCATGCGTGCTATAAAGTTAACAGATCATAATGGGCAACTGGAAATCAGTCTTGCTGGGGAACTACAGAACATGCTTCAAGATAAGGGGGCTAGGTTATCTGTCTTCTAGGCCACATTACATCAGTGATTTAGAGGTGCTGCCCAGGGGATTCCCTGGTAGTACCCACCATACGTGGCTGGAGAAGCTCTTTGGCAGCTCCTTTTCAGTTGGCACTTAGAAGCAGAGAGGCCAGTGCACTGAGACATGCTGTATGCTGAGGGAACGTAGGCAGGCAGCAAAAGAGTCTACTGCAGGGAAGTGCTATTGTTTTTTTTTGTTTGTTTGTTTGTTTTTTTTATTTTTGAGACAGGGTTTCTCTGTGGCTTTGGAGCATGTCCTGGAACTAGCTCTTGTAGACCAGGCTGGCCTTGAACCCACAGAGATCTACCTGCCTTTGCCTCCTGAGTGCTAGGATTAAAGGCTTATGCCACCACCGCCTGGCAGGGAGCCTCTATTGTTAGTGAAAATGGAAGTTATTGGTTTTGTAACCCCCAATCCTTAGCTGAATAGCTTTTTTGCAGTATTCAGGCATTTGGATTCTGATTTTTTCCATGATTAAGATTAGAAATGTATACACTAAATTCATGAAATTAGACACTTAAGTAATTCTCTAAGATCACTTCAGACTGAAAAAAAATACTGGCATTCTTTGATTCTGCTTACCATAGATAATTTAACTGAGTTTCCAATTGTTATGTAACTTTACCTGAAAACTTGGAAATAGTCTGGTTATGTTTGCAAGTTATTGATTCAGTGATTTGTTTATTTGGTCCAAGGACAGGGGATTTTTATAGAATCATACAAATCAGAAACTTAAGAATTCTTGATAGTGTCTGCTAGAACTACATTGGGTGGCGCCATAGCTGATACCTGAGTGAGCCACCCACTTTCTATTAATATACCACTTCAGTGAGTACCTGATAAACATCATTTGTGTACTTTGCTGTGGGAATATAGAAAGGATAGAAATTACAGTTCAGTGAGTTTCCCATCTATTTTCTCTTAGTTGATGGATAGCTTCCAGAACTGAAGGAATAGGTTTCCTTTTGCTCAACCTGCTGATAGTTGCCTTCGTGTGAGTGTTGGGTCTAATTGGGAGGTCAGAGATAAGCCAAATCATTTCCAAAGGCAAGAATTAGGAATGGAAATGACCTTCAGCCACATGACCCAAAGGTGTTCCCAGAAATTGTCACCCTCGCTTCCCTCTTAGTATCTTCATTTCCCAAGTTCTATAGGAAACTTATTTGGATATGGTTAACCTCAAGGCTTGATGACTCTGCTTTCTGTGTTTTGGGGGAAATGCCATTCTTTGGTTCATGACTTAAAAATAAGAACTTAGAAGAGGGATTGCAACATGGCATAGCTGTTAAGAGCACTGGTTGCTCTTCCAGAGGATCTGGGTTGAATTCTCAGCATCCACACAGTGGCTCACAATTCCCCTTGTACATAGTATGCAGACATGTGCAGGCAAAACACGCATACAGATAAAATAAAATCAATAGTCAAAGAAGGAACTTGGCAATATTTGAATTTGGGGTTTGCAATCTTTTTTTATTTATTTTTTTTATTTTTGTGGCCTCAAAGTTGCCGGTCTGGAAGTTTCTATGTAAGTAAGGCTAACGTTGAACTTGTGATCTTCTTGCCTTTCCCCCTAAATTACAGGATTACAGGAATTCTATTTTGTCTTTTGGAAAGAAAATTAAGTGACAAATACTTTTCTGTGTTTAGGGATGTCGGCAGGTGTTCATCCCATGACTGTACTGAACCAATAGGTTGAAAGCACAGTTGAGAAACTCTAGAAAAATGTGTAGAAGAAACTTTTCATTTGGAACTACCCTAAGAAGTAATAGGTTCCATTAGAGAAGTGAACTCCTAATCATTGGAAAGATGCAAACCGATGTCTTACTACTCTTTGAAGGTTTTACTGTTTGGTTAGTTGGTTTGGGCTTTTTGAAACAGGCTCAACATATAACCCAGGCTGGTCTCACACTCCTATCAGTATCTCAAATGCAGTGCCAGGATTAGAGGCATGTGTTCCTATGTCCTACCTGAAAAACGGTTTTGAGATACAATGTTACTAAGTTGTCCAGGCTAGCCTTTAACTTTTTATCCTATTCTCTCTGACTCCAAAGTAGGTGACAGGACACTGAACAGGATTTTAGAGAACTTTTAATGATTTTAGATACCGGAGTAGGGTAGCCCATATTTGATAAGAGCCTGAGCTCATGGTGAGTCCAGACAGCAATATATTTGACCAAATCTCATGTGTGTGTTAAAGCCGGCTCACAATGAGAGAAACTGAATAGATAATAAAGTAACACTGTTACCTTCCCCTTTAGAACACTTTTTTTTATTTGTTTGTTTTTTCCCTTTTCCTGGCAGTTTCTTTGTGTAGTCCTGGCCTTCCTGGAACTCTGTAGACCAGGCTGGCCTTGAACTTAGAGATGCATCTGCCTCTCCCTTCCAAGTACTGGCCAAGGGCTTTATTTTTAAGGCCAGAAGTCTTCCAATTTCTGCCTAGTCAATCAGTTGTATTCTAAAAGGCACGTGAGGGTTTTTTTTATGACATACTAAATTAAACAATTTCCATTGAAAACTAGAAGACATCAATGTAATATAAAACATTATCTAGTCATACAAAATTACCTTTTCTTTGTCTCTTGTTCAAGGGATTGTGTTTCTGTAACTGAAAATTGAGACTTACAATGATTCAATCATTTTCCGAATTCCCTGTTTTCCTCACAAATAAACTTTTGGAACAGCCCTTCTTAAGGGATTTTTATTGTGGAGTACTTTCTGTATGTTCCCATTGTCCATCCCTTAAACTTATCCAGTCAACAGCATTGACTGAGGGCTGTGGAGGACTGAGAAATCTTGGAAATTGAAATGTTGCTGGTCACACAATGCTGGCTACTACAGCAAAAAATTAGCACCATGTGAAATTACAAGTTTGTCCCACATAGGCCATGATAGCTCTATGATTGAAATGCATAATTTTACTCTTACTTCTTTAATGAAGGTTTGCAATGATGGAAAAACAGTAGGAAACGTTTTTTTTCAAATGCAAATTACCTTGCAAGAAAGAAATAACAAAGGAAAGAATTGCCACCAAGGGGAAAAATTAAATCTCACAGCACTTCCTTGGGTATAGTGGAGACAAACAATTAGCATGTTAAGGATCATTACGTCCTGTAATAACATGTTGCTTCAAAAAATTCTGTTCTTTCCAGCTTTGGTCCTATCTGTGTGCTGGTTGATGTTGATATTATATGTCACGAACCAACTGTGAAATATTTTTAGCATAATTACAAATCTTAGACTAAAAGGTCTAAATTGTCTATAATTCTTACCTATAGGTTAACTGGTTTAAGTAAGTTCCATATAAGACATGTCCTTTCCATGACATTAAAAGGCTGATTAATCATGAATTAAATCGCAGTTAATTTTCTTATTGTTGTACTAGGAACAGAGAATTTAGCGGTAAATGACAAGGGGAGGGCTTGGTCTTCATGGAGATTATGCTAGAGAGAACATTCTAGACGCGTGCATCTGGAAGGCCATTGATTTTTCTCAGCTCTTGTGTTTGTGGTGTGTTCCAGTTACCTATACTGTATAATAAAGCCCTGTCAAACAGCCATCTTCTGCCTCACAAGTCTATGATTTTGACAGGGGCTGCTCCACTGGGCTGAACTATTCAGGATACCCTCCCTCCCTCCTGCTCTTCTAATAGGTGGGGCCCAGTAAAGTCTTTCCTTTCCCTTCAGAGTTCCTTACGTTTTGGAGTTTCTCCATCGCTTTTCCAGGCCCCTTTCCCTTCAACCAGGCAGTCAGATTCTTTACATTATTGCTAACTTATAGAAAGGAGGAAACTACAAGGTGTCTTAAGGTCTAGCTCCAGTAGCCTCTCTCAGTTCAGATTCAAGGGTAAGAGATCAGATCACATCTAGGTAGGAGTGGGGGCATTTGTATTTAAGGATAGCTTGAGTTTTTGGTGGCCATCCTTAGAGATGATCTATCACGTGCTTCTTCAGAAGTCAGGAGAAATAATATAACACTTTCCCCGAATTTGATTAAGGCTTCACAGTCTTAGCTATTCCAACTGTCAGCTTGTCTGTCACAGAAACAGAGGAACATGACTAACTCCCAAACAGAATGCTCCTTTTTAATCTCTGCTCTATTCCTTTTTTATGACTACATTTAGAAAACAATTTGACTTCTACGATTATAGTGACTTTGCCACAAATTTTCCAAAAAAATAGTATATTGACTGTTTTTAAGTCCTGTTTTAGGTGTTCATGAATACAAGACATCACTGCAACAGATATAGAACCCCAGATGTCTTTAGAAATCCCTCATTTCACTGAGTGGGACACCAAGACCCATACAAGGTCACAGTGACAATGTTAGAAATTATACTCCTTTGTTTTCATTAGAAGTACTGGCATGCTTAGAGAAATTGGTTTATGCTTTTATGGGTATAATTGTTGGATACTTTTATTCTTACTGTTATTAGTAAACGGTTCATTGTCTTGGCTTTTCACTAAAAATTTAAAGACTTATGTTCTCAGATTCATGCCTGTAATTTGTTCCAAATTGTCTATTTTTGACATAGATCCCTGAGTTATGGTGCTATAGGAGTAATTGTTGGACATGAATTTACACATGGATTTGATAATAATGGTAAGTACTAGTTTATTTTACAAGCTGCTGCTTTTATAATGATGTTGATTGGAGTGTGTTAATTGTCATTATTACCTTTTCATAGTGGCATCATCATAAACTGAAGATTATCTCAAGCAATGTGATTGCTGATTGAAAACTTGTCTCATGGTTTGCTGTGATAGCTTGCAATAAATAACTATTCCAGTTGGTGTTTAGGGTCAAATGAAAAAAAGAAAGACTTTGTAGTTTCCATGAAATCACTTTTGCGTTTGGGATGGGATTTCCAGGGCTCCCACAGTGGCTGCAGGAATCTCGCTGTAGCTTTTCTCCTTTGTCATTTGTTTCCTCCTCACAGGCCTATGTTGTTTTCCCTGGAGGTGTGAGCTCTGCCCCTGAGATGATTGTATGTGCGGCTTAATTAAGAAGTTAGCCTTGGGAACTCGGCTGCCTGATTGCTTTGTATAATTTCAAGTGCTTCTTTTCTATTTTTCTTCATATTGGCATATATTCAAAATTAATAACATACACATATGCTCTGTATCCTGATGGTGTTTAAGCAAAAGGGAAAGGCAAGATAATAACAAACAACTAAAAATATCTCCTTTGAGAGTCATCATTTTTAAGGTTTTCTGACATTTATTTCTTTGTGTGTGTTTGTGAGTGTGAGTGTATGTAGGTCACGGGATAACTTGCGGGATTGCTTCTCTGTTTCTCATGTGTTTTGTTTCGTTTTGGTTTTGGTTTTTCGAGACAGAGTTTCTCTGTGTAAAAGTTCTAGCTGTCCTGGAACTTGCCCTTGTAGACTAGGCTGGCCTCAAACACACAGAGATCCACCTATCTCTGCCTCCTGAGTTCTGGGATTAAAGGCCTGTGCCATTACTGCCTGGCTAAGGGAGAAGATTCTTAACTAAGAAACAAAGGCATATGGAGCTCATTAGTCCCAGACTTTACTTCTAAGGTCTCTCCCATGGAATAGAATCTAACGAAGGCAATTCCATCCTGTAAACAATACGTAGCACAATGTGTTGCACATATGAGTATATGTCCAGGAACTGATGGCTGATGTGTTAGTGGATGGAGGACAGTGACACCATTATTTGGGGTAGTGTTAGTAGCAAGCAACCTTACTGAAGAGCTTTGGGTTGGTCCAGTGGATGCTTTTGCTTAGGGTCCTTCCATGTAAGCCTTTTCTTACAAGTTCTCCCTTTGGAGCCTCTTGTGTAGGGGGCTTTCTGTGTAATTAAATTAAAAGTATGCCTTTGATTCTAGCAATAACCTTGGAAATAGAAGAGTTGTACCCAAATCATTGATGGGAAGGCTGTAGATAGCAAGAGACCACAAAGCAAGAAAAACGATTTCCCCTCCCCCAGTTATGTTCTAGAGATTTCTATTCCAGTTCCAAGTTCTCTTTTTAGACCAACATTCCTCATCCAAGCAGGACAGATGGGTCTTCCATCCACACCGATGACTGTGAAATGATTCATAGCAGAGGGTTTATGTGTTTCTTCGCTCCTGGCAACTGAGCGGAAGCAGGTTGCTATAGGGCTGAGTCAGGTTCTGTGGTCCTATGGTTTGGATGACTCACTGGGGCTATTCCTATGGATTATTTGGAATTTCACTGGTAGTGCTACTCCAGTTCCCTCTGCTTTTTGAATACAGGAAACTCATTTTGATTGCCAGAAAATGTTTCAGGTCAGAGGAGATGAAAACAAAGAATCCGAGATTGGATGAGACTGGTGCACGTGTTAAATTGATGAATCTCATTTTGAAAATGCCCTTTGTTCCTTTCAAGGAAAGAACTCGCTCAATTCTGTGCCTCCCTTTCCTGCTTTCTACAATTAGTCCATGACATTGGAGATGACATGGGAGCTGATCTCAGGGACAGCATCCTGTGCTGTCGGGGCTGCTTTGGAAAGTCTGATGAGGTGAAGGAAAGGCAAGAGGATCATTTTGGCTTCTAGAAAGTAACACAGATTTCTTGTAACTTTTCTTTTTGCTAGGTAGAAAATACGATAAAAATGGAAACCTTGATCCTTGGTGGTCTGTGGACTCAGAAGAAAAGTTTAAGGAAAAAACAAAGTGCATGATTAGCCAGTATAGCAACTATTATTGGAAGAAAGCTGGTTTAAATGTGAGTACAGCTGTGGTTGGTGGTGGTGGTGGGGGCACCTTGTGGGCCATTTTTCCTCATTTAGACATTAGCTTGCTTTAGACCATTGGTTCTCCAAGTATGCTTCTGGGATCTACAACATCTGTGTTCCCTGGGAACTTGTTAGAAATGCAAATCTTTGACTCCTGCCTAGACCTACTGAATCTCTAGGGGTGGAGTCTGGTACTCGGGATTCTGTTACAAGCCCTCAGGTGGTTCTAACAGATGGTTGAATTTGGAGAATTGTAGGCCTACCCATTAGTGACATCACAAATGCCCTAGCCCAAACAAACAATAACATTCTTAAAAAATCTCCTACATTTTTAGGTTGAATTAACTGAGATAACGTCTCATTACTTTGAGTCAAAGGGTCTGAGAATTAAATCAAGTTTTTAGTTATAGAAGTTTTAACAAAATAAATATACTTTTGAAATGTTTATTTTGTGGCATGTGTATGTATATAGTTTTCAGTGAAGGCAAAATGCAATTGTATACATACTTTGAGGATGTGAGATTTTGTTCCTTTTGTTTTTGCCTTTTTCTTCATTGCCTTTTCTTTTCTATCTTATCTTCTCTGCCTAAGGTCAGCGTTAGTAGCTCTGATACACTTCCTCCTGCATTCAGGTAAAGATAGATACACACAGGTTTAATTAATTGCTTCTGGTGATGGCCTAAGAATTCCTGGTGTGGATATACCATAACCTAGTCAACTAACCTCTTACCCAGGAATTGAATTTTCAGTTAAAAATGTCTATGCAATAAATACCTTATTGTGTATTACTTTTTCCTTGTAGGACCTATTCCTATTGTCACCAGAATATAATTGAATATTTCTACAAGTGATAGATTAAGGAATGTTATATCCATGAAACCTTACTTTTCTTGTCAATTTATGAGAGCCTTTTAAAATAGCAGGGATGCTGAACTTCTGTTATTCACATTATATGTATCTCCCTGAAGTGTATTACTTATCCTTTAAGGTTTTTTTTTTCTGTAGTATCTTTTGGCACACAAAATCAAAACATTTTCAATATTTCAAAATACGAAATCTCTCTTAAAATTACTTTTTGTCTCTCTGTTCTTGCCTACGAAGATGTCTGCTCTACTCAGATTGTATAGGAAATAGTCTTAGCTACCTTTCTCTTGTTGTGGTAAGATACTACAACCAAGATAACTTACAAAAGAAAGCATTTAATTTGGGTCTTACAGTTTCAGAGTGTTAGAGTCCATGATTATCATGTGGGGAGCATGGCAGCAGCAGGTAAATATGGGGTGGAGAGAGGGGGGAAGGGCGTGAGAGAGAGAAGGAGGAAGAGAGAAAGAGAGAGAGAGAGAGAGAGAGAGAGAGAGAGAGAGAGTAAAGCTATTCAAGCTAACTAGAGGGGCTTTTGAAACCTGAAAGCCCATCCCCCGGTGACGTTCCTCCTACAACAAGGTCACACCTCCTAATCTTTCCAGAACAGCTCCATTAACTGGGACTAAGTATTCAAATATATGAGCACATTCAAACCATCACAGGAGACTCTCATTTTTTCCCAAAAACTTTTGTTTTTATTTTTCTGATATTTTACGTTTAAATGTTCATGAATGTGAAATTTATTTTTCTGTGGAGTTCAATAGGGGAGTTCATATACTGTTAAAGTATAGGTTCGAGTTTAATACTGTATGATTCTAGAGTCATTTTACATGCGTCCATAGCATGCTCTTGTTCTCTTATTTTAAGTTTATTTACGTATATGAATATATTCAAATACATTTATTTAGTTTTGTTCTTCAGCATCTATTTTGTTTGCCCAAAGTGTAATGTAAGTTTGAAATCATGTATCTTTGTCACTAGGACAATGATTATAGAGCAAATCTGTCTCAGTATAAATTCATTCAACCATCAGAAAACAGCTTTAGTCTCTTTCCCATAGAAGGGCTATGTGTCTAGAAGGTGTGTGTGTGTGTGTGTGTGTGTGTGTGTGTGTGTGTTTCCTTTATGGACATAAGTGGTCAGGCTTTATTTTTCAGGTTTTATTTGTAAGAGTAAGTTCCAGTGCCCAAATCGTTCTTTGCAGTGTTTAGGGAAGAACTTAGTTGGGTCACCACAGATGCAGAATGTCAGTAGCTAGTGTGTCTGGAGAGGTCAAACCAGGTCTCATGTACTCCACGGTGATGGTTCAGAGTGTGAGGAGTTAAAAGGGATGGGGCTCTGCCAGAAGCTATAATTTAAATGAAAAGTTTAGAGTGAGAAAAGGAGATCGATTCAAGCATGAGAATATATAAGCATACATAAGAAAAACCCAGACTTGAGAAGGCATGTGCCGCACACCAAAAACTCCAGACGAAGAGGTCTGCTTGGGTTTGAATACCTGACGAATGTGAGCATTTTTTTCCCTTGATCATTCTGTCTTAGACAAATTCATGATAAGCACAACCCAAGAAGGGGTTCCTTAGGTGACAGAGTCATTGAGAAAGTAGTTTTATGAGAAACCTCCCATTGGCTCTGAGGGAAGCTGAGCCTTACTCTTGATACTAAATAGGGTTCTGGAGAATGACTATCATCCCCGAAGTTGTTCAGCGCAGGGGCAAGTAGTTGGGCATCTGCACTAGCACATCAGTCAGTCACTAGGAGATGGGCTGTAGTACTCCCATAGGTTAAGGTTAGCAGTCACAGGGATGGCTGCAGAGTCTTGGTAGAGAAGGGGAACTACTGGATGACCCTGAAATCATATATATATATATACAAGTAATTTTCTATGAATAGCAATTAGAGAAACAGAGGCTATGGATTTGAGAGAGAGCAAAGCAGGAAGGGCTGGAAGGAGGAAAGGCTTATAATGTATCATATTTTAGTTTCAAATATATATACAATCCATAAACTGCTTTGAAAATCAGATGCTTGTTTGTTAATCAAAGGTGTTGACAATAGTCCTTAACTCATTGGAATGTAGAAAATGAATGTAGGTGGAGTCAGAATGGGAACTTTGGGAGACTAAAGCAAGGAATGGTGGGGGTTCTGGGTGATAACATAGACTCTTGCTTTCTTAAGATGTATTTTTATTTGTTAACATCACTTGATATGTCAAAAGTTGGTCTAACTTAAATTAAGTCAGTAGGATCCATAGCTTGGGAGTTGTATGTTAGTTTCCTGCTGCTGATGGAGCAAATTACTTTGAATTTAGTTGCTTAAAACAATACAATTTTATTCTCATACTATTCTCTAAGTCAGAAGTGTGACACAAGTCTCAGTGACCTAAAAGATAGGTGTTGGCATGGATGTCTTCCTTTGTAGAGGGTAATAGGGAAGAGTCTGTCTCCTGCATTTTCGAAGTTTTTGAGGCTATCTACTTTTCTTGGCTCATGACCCCTTCCTCCTTCAAAGCCAGCAATGACTGGTGTACCACTCTGGTATTCTCTTGTCTTCCTTTTCCTTTTGTAATTACATTGAGCTTATCTGGACAAACCAGAATAAGTCACTAAGGCAGTCTCTCTCTCTCTCTCTCTCTCTCTCTCTCTCTCTCTCTCTCTCTCAATATCCTTGACTTAATCACATCTTAAAAGTCACTTTTTGTCATTGTAGGGTAACTTATTCCTGAAGGTTTGGGGATTTTAACGTAGATGTCTTTAAGAAGCCACTATTCTGCCTACTATTATTCTGCGTGCTATATGGGGGTTAGCAAAGCCTTAAGCTAGGTAGGAAATACTAAACTGTCCTTGTAGCAAGAAAAAAAGGAAACACAGACTGTGTTTGTTAGTGGGCTTGACTGTGATCTAATAAAAGATGATTTATAGACATTGATATTTGAATTTTACATCATTTTTATGTGCATAAGATATTGTTCTTTTGATTTTCTTTCAATCACTGACAAGGATAAAATCTAGACTAGATAAAAGCAAATGGAAGGTTGACTTTGGCTTGTAGGATGTATAAACGTTGACTTTCTATCCTAGATCATTTATGGTTTTAAGAAACAGTTGAGAAGAATGTCTCCCCATGCTTGACTGGGTGTTACACATATTTCAAACCTTGACCTTGTAGTCTGTACCACTTCTACTTGATTTTTCTGTTCCCTAAGAGAACAACTTTCATTTTAATGTTTTGTAGAAATAGCTGAAGGTAGAATGATAACGGTTGGTGCTGAAATCTTGTTTCTGTGTGAATGGTGATTTTTTTAGAGACACAGGGACAATGAGAAAGACTCAAATTATGTGAGTTAATCAGAGAAGTCATCTGAATATTGAAATTTCTATTTTTCTATTAAACCAGAGCCACTGAGAATATTGTTAGCATTTTGGGCTGGAGGGATGGCTCAACCGTTAAAAGCTAGGCTCACAACCAAAAACATTTTATTCGAGCTGACTCAAGTGGCAAGAATAAAGAGGAGGCTGAGAAAATAATGCAGAGAGTAATAAGATAAAAACATCTACATTCAGAAGACCCCTGCTGGGGTTAGTTTGCCATGTCACAACATATCATGTCTACTTCTGATTCACTGAATGTCATTTTCTCTTTAAAATATGACCGGTTTGGATCCTATAATATTTACATACCTTTTGCTGAATGTTAGTTGACTGTGGAACACTTTCTGTTTTCCTTTTTTCTAGGTAAAGGGGAAGAGGACCTTGGGAGAAAATATTGCTGATAACGGAGGTCTGCGGGAGGCCTTCAGGGTACACACCATTACATTTACTGAGCTTTAAAAATCACGTGTGGAAGCACACATAGGTGCACTTCAGTGCATAGTACCTACATGGTGTTGAGAAGTACGGTGTTTTGGACTCTCTAAAACCCATTTGTATTTCTACATGAACTCTGTTATACTTGATAAATAGATAAATAGAGCTGCATTTTTTTCTTTTGGAGTATTGAGTCATCCTAAATAATCATGGTTGTTAAGAGTTGTAAATTTACAATGTGGTTTACTGATAGTATACTCAGAATCATATTAAAGAATGCCATAGGACTCTCCTTGGGGCTAAGTTCATGTAAATTGTCTTGAAGTAAAGCTTTCTCTCTATCCTTCCTTATTTTATCATAAAGCCTCAAACTTTTAAGTTATGGCTAAAGCTATTTATTCATTCTCATACATTGGGCCAGTGAGAGTCCGTAGAAGTGTTTGCATCATATCCCAGTATGTGGTTAAGAAATAAACAATGATAACATGGAAAGACTTGCATAAAACTGAATATACTTACTTTACAGACCAGGCTATAATCCTAAAGCATTATCTTTTCTATATTTTACTGAAGATGAATTTTATTTTATTAAATAATGGTTTAAAAAAGATATGTTTTCTTGATGAGAACATTTAAATAGAATAGTAGATTGACACCACTCCAATTTATTGCTAAAGCAGTCGTGCATGGTGGTAAATTTGTTTGTCCCTCCTTGGAATGAGAAGGGCACCTTTAAAATAGCAACTTAATATCTGACCACTATGGCCCAGTTACTTTGCTATGTATAGGGTATAAGGCGCCCCATTGTTGAGTTGCTTTTGATTTTGAATCCGAGTGTCACTCTGTAGTCCAGGCTGATCTCAAGCTCCTGGCAATGCTCCTGCCACAATCTCCCAAATGCTGGGTACAGATGTGTACCACCATGCTCTGGTAGCACAGGTGAAATGGCACTGAGTTGTATTTCCAGGTTTGTTTTCTTAAAGAAAAACCCAAAAGTGAATTTTCTACATGGCGAGGACATGTATTTAGTACTTTTGTGCTGAATGGTGAAGAGGGAAGAGCTGCCATTGATGAGACTCACCTGCTCTGCTTCCATCACCAGGCTTACAGGAAATGGGTAAATGACAAACGGCAGGGGGTTGAAGAGCCTCTCCTACCAGGCATCACATTCACCAACAACCAGCTGTTCTTCTTGAGCTATGCTCATGTGAGTAAACCGAGGGAAGGGCGTAAAAGACGAACTGGATGCTGTTAACTTATGCCCTCAACTCAAAGGTGTGGAAGAAAAGTTCCCAGTGATAACTGACAAAAGCCATTTAATCTTGCGCCAGTACTGGGTCAGCTATAAAAATAGTACCAAAGAAGCACACCCTAGTTAGAATGGGCAAACTGGGCCAAATTAAGACCTGCTGTTTGCTTTTATTTATAAATCACGCTTTGATTGGAAAAAGGCTACACTCTGTCGTTTACATGTGGTCCGTGGTTACTTTGTGTTACAGTAGCAGAGTTGAGTTGTTGAAAAAGGGACCTTATGGTTTTTAAAAGTTCAAGTACTTATCTCTCTCTTTTCAGAAGAATTTTGATCAGCTCTGATCTAGACGACAAGATACAAGGGTCCATCTGTTCGTACTGCTTACATTCTAGTCTCTAGTAACTCTTGTAAATGAAAGTAATAGAGAGAGCTGCTGCGATTAAAATGTCTATGATGTTTTCAAATACAACATTTTTGTCAAATTGAAGCAATTCGGGGGAAAAAGAGTAATCCTAATTTTTTTTTTTTAAATCACCATTGAGGAATTTCTCTTCGAGTCCCTCCTTCTTACAGAAAAAAGAGATTTTTTACTCTTTTCTACATTGGATTACATCTGTTTATATGGAATATGTTATTTTCTACCCTTGAAAAGTACTCGAGAACAGTAACAACCATAATGTATTTCCAGGAATCTCTTAAATGACTTATGAAGCATCATCAATACTATATAATAATGTAAGCAAAGTATAAAAGAGAAAATAACCTAAGAGATGAGGCAAAATTGAATGTGAAAAATAAGCTCACATGGGCTAACTTCTGAGAAATTTAAGAAACTGCATTACAAGAAGATCTTTAAAAACATTCATAAATATTGCGAGAGACTATTTGTCCTTATCAAAATAACAGTAACCCATTAGCTTTCCTGCCCTCTCTATGCCTGTAGAAGCCATGACCTGCTAATTTGTTTCTCATACTTTTTTAAAATGCATTTTTATACTTCTGGTTCTTTCAATGTCCATTTCTATTTATTTAGTAGCTGTATGTGTGTATGGAGGCCGGAAGTTGATGTTGAATGTCTTTTTTTGGTTGCTTTTCACATTTATTTTTTTAATACATGTTTCTTTCACTAAACACAAAATTGATCAATTTGGCTATGCTGTTTGGCCAATGAGCTCCACCTTTCACTACCACCTCTCCCATTCCATTTTCCAAGCTCTGGGGTTACAGGCACATGCCATTATGCCCAGCATTTTTGCATAGGTTTTAGGGCTCTGAACACAGGTCCTTATGCTTGTACTAGACACATTACAGATTGAGTCATCTACTCAGCCCCAATTGACTCTTAATGTTGCAAATTAAATTGGTCTTAAGAATATTAAAATTAATGACAAGTTTTCCTAAACTTTTATCAGGAAATGGAATATATAGTTTCTCATATTTACTGATTAGAACAAAGCACATAGTCATAACTAACTTCAAAGGATGTAGAGACATGTATTCTTATCTCAAGTCCAGACCAGGATGAGGCAAGCAAGACATTCAGGGACATCTATAATCAGTATACCTCCTGATTATGCTAAACCATGGTATTGTTCACTTAGTTTATTCATTAAAATGTATATGATTAAATTTGATAAAAAGTTATTTAAAACATTAAATTAATAAGTTGAATACATTGTTCAATTCCAGGGCACATTTGATTCTCTTGCTTTAAATCATTTGCCTGGAAACCTTCTTAATTTACTCAAATTGTGGAATTCACATTGATAAATTCCTTCTGTTCTGGGGATTTGAATAATAGATGTTACTGTTGCTTAAAGTTTTAGCTGATGCACTAAAAATGCTTGCTATCAATTAATTCCAGAATTATTCTTCAGCTCAAGTTGGATGAGTTAAGAAAGGAAGAAAGGTATGATTGAAGTAGAAGTATATTTACAGGGGTGTCTTTATCTTTTAGGTGAGGTGCAATCCCTACAGACCAGAAGCTGCCAGAGAACAAGTCCAAATTGGTGCTCACAGTCCTCCACAATTTCGGTAAATGCGCAAATGGGGGACAGCAGGTTTTAATGGTCTCTCCCCATTCTGTGCTTCCCAATCATACCAGTGTGCTGCCAGATGGGAGTTATGAACAAAAGTCCACACAATAAAATAAATACATCATCTTCATTGTGTAGATAATGGAATCTAGCCAAAGAAACTAAGCATCTCTTGTTTCCTTAGAAGTAAGCTGGTCTTCTCAGTGTCTTTTCAACTAAATTTCTGCTTAGTGTTACATCAAGTGAAGTTTCTATTTTTTTTATTGATTTTTATTGAGCTCTACATTTTTCTCTGCTTCCCTCCCTGCCTCTCCCTTCCAAGTGAAGTTGTGTAATGAGGTTTCATCATTGTGATGCCTCAGAAGTAATTGCAGTCCAAATCAGTTTTAATATTAAGATTCAGATATCGAATTAGAATTGCATGGGGTCAGAGGGATGATTTGGTGGCTAAGAGCATTGCTGTTCTTGAAGATGATTCAGGTTCAATTTCCAGCATCGACATGATGGCTCATAACAACCTGGAAACCAAACACCAGGAGATCTGAATTCTTCTTCCTGTCTCCAAGGCCTGTAAGCATGCACATTGTACACATACACATGATCATATATATATATATATATATATATATATATATATATATATGTTTATGTAATTTGCCTTTGGAGGTTAATAATCCATAGGTGCCATGAGGTCACTGCTCAATAACAGGAGTATTGAATTGATCCAACCATCTATTTTAGCAGGGAGGTTTGGGCAAAAAATAAATTCAGAATGGATTTCATTATCTAGTGAACTAGTCTGCTTACAACTTCTAGAATTCTGGTTTACTCTGGTCTGTTTTCTCTTTAAAAGTATTCTCTGTGATAGCTCTTGTTTTTCCCCTTACCCTGTAAATTATCAAACATAAACAAATATGCCCTCATTCTCAACACAAAGGAAGATATATGTGGTAATCTTAAGCAATTATAATTCATATCTAAGGCCAGAGACATTGCATTTTGTTTTTCATCTTGTATTACCCTTTGAAGCAATTGCTTATATACAAAAAGAAAAAGATTAACAACTGTAATTTCAGAATGTATAAATTATTAAGTAAAAACAAAATTAAGGTTGATATTACTTATCCTTGACTAGGTTCTATGGCTTGAGAGAAAATTTCATACAGTAGAGGATAGTTAATTATATAAAGAAATCCAAGAAACCATGCTAATTTATAGTTACTCTGCTTAGAACACATTATACCTGAATATCTTTATGTTTAATATTTAAATGATCCATTAGCATATCATAAGAAAGTAATCTAGGATTTCCTCTGTATTTTAAAATCGTATTCCTAAAACCTTGCTTTAGAAATGCTCGAAATCGACTATAAATTACCCACTAGCATAAAAATCTAATCACTGTGTTGGAACTTCTCCCCCACTGGGCTGAACTGTCACGCAGGCTGACAGTTTCTAATGGACTAAAATGTGCTTCCACTGAAAAATGCAGCAGAGGAAACCACACAGTAGATTAATTGCTCACCAGCTAAGTTTTAGAAACAACTTTTATTTTACTAGCTAGTTGCCTGAAATGTTGGAGTTTTGCTAATAATTTCCAGAGTGCACTTCCTGATTATCAGCTATAGTCTATCTTTCACACCTGCCTAAGGTGACTCATTCCGTGATTTAGGAATCTTTATCCATACACCCCAGCTAAGCCGGAGACGTTATGGGGATTTGCTGGATACAGGCCATTGCATTCATTCAGATGCCCTGAGGTAATCATGCCATTATGGAAGAAATAAAATGCTGAGTTAAATTTTAGTAAACCCTTTAAATATTCAGCTGAGTAAGAAATGGATGAGAGGGAGGTTTTGAGCTGACTTGTTACTGATATCTGCAGTCAGTGTAGATTTTGAATGCAGAGAAAAAAATCATACAATGGAAATAGCATTTCCAAAAGACAGTTACAACCAAAGGGCCGAGGAGGAATCAGCGGTCCTCATTGCAGTCAGGAACTTGCGCGTGTACACCAGATTCTGGAGCTAAAAGCCAGGTCAGAATGATTCTTCTGTAACAGCTAGATCCTATCTGTTAGTTGATTCTTAGCCAAATTCTAGGTAGTGTGAATCTCCAAATGAGTGTTTTTGTACATTAAATGCATTGTTAAAAACTAATTGGAAATGCAGCAAGATGGATGGCTTTCATAATATTTTACGGAGAGGGAAAGTGCTAAAGACAGAGCTGTAGGCAGTGGACTTTCCATTCATATGGAGTTCAAACACAGCTAGTGCTGTAGTTTTGAAGAAGTCTTGGCAAGAGAGACAAAGAAACTGGAGTGCTTGAGATACCTTTCCTCGATCCCAAATTGGTAATGACAGACACATCTGGATAAAATAGTGGTTTCTATGTTTATGATTTGTGCCCTTTGTACCAGATATTTAAGTTTTAGAAACTAATCTCATTTTACTAACCAGTTGACTGAAATATTTTTTTTTTGCAAATAATTTACAGAGTACACTTACTATCAGTTATATTCTATCCTTAACACTTGGCCAAAAGTAATTTTTTTCAAAAGCTAGAAAACAAAGTCTTGGAGATGATCTAGTTGTGTAGGAGTTTTAAGACTTAGAAGCGTACGAGGAATTCTGGCCATGCTTTGAGGAAATGTTGGTTTTCATTCTCGATGATATTAATTTCTTTTCTTAATTAGCTGAGCTTTAGCTGTCTTCCTTGTAAATGGATTAAATGCATGCAAAGATCCTTTTGAAGCAATGGACTGGCTGTTTTATCCAGAACCTGTGGATGTGTATGAATTGAATAACAACGTACTTTTGTCATCTCTTATTTTCAGGGTCAATGGTGCTGTTAGCAACTTTGAGGAATTTCAGAAAGCTTTTAACTGTCCTCCGAATTCCAGTATGAACAGAGGCCTGAATTCCTGTCGACTCTGGTAGCTGGGAGTGCTGGTTCCTACCATTCTGCCAGAGCTGAGGGATGCCAGTAGAGATGGCAACGACGGACTCAGCACCTACTGCCTTTTGCCTTTATTTCTTTGAGAACTTTTATTTTTAATGCATTTTTAGTATTTGGGTAGTTGACTTGCTTGGATCTAAACAGTATCTGTTCAAAGTCCTTGGGCTTATAAAAGAAATCAAGAGCTGAACCAAATATATTTCATGAGAAAGGCAAACCAATGAAAACAAATGTCAAAACTATTTGGTTAAACTGGCATCCCTATTATCTGTTTTGGTTAGCCACAGGTCGGTGGCACAGAATTCCAATCCACAGCTTTGCAGGTGACCTGAGTTGAGTATATCCATTGAAAGGACCAGTCTCTGGAAACTGTTACCCTCAATGTGTATCTCCTAATTTTGAACCGAGCAGACATCGAGAAAAGAATTTTCTGTTTCCATGTCAAGAACATATGGCTTTCATTTCCCTTTAGCACAACTATATAAACACCACATTGAGGAGGGAGTAAAGGCTCTTCCATCTCAGCCCACTTAATGTTACATCCCTGGAAAAGAAAATCCCTTTCAAAAACTTCTGGAATTAAGGCACTTTAGTCTATATGAATCCAATTAAAAAAATCCTGCCTAGATCTAAGGTGCACAAATTTACTCTTTAAGTGTTATGAAGGGTTTATCTTTAAAAAAGCAGTGCTGTATTTTGATCCTTAGAGCATTATTTTTTAAATGAGCATCTTTAGTGTTGGTTAATGTAATATTAGTATGTATGTATGTAGGATGAAATTGTTATCACATTTAAGAAAGTGTGTAGGATAAAATTGTAATGGCATTCAAGTGGCTACTTGGTATTTCTTGTTTAGTTTTAGTTTTATTTAGGATAGGCATTTCCCTACCCCCGTCACATTAACCATTGTGCATGGGGTGCTGGGTTAAGTGGGCCAATAGAAAACTTTCTAAAGCAAAATGACAAATTCAGATGAACCACAGGAGGTCATTTTGTATCCTTGTGACTTGTTACCCTTTTGCAAAAAAAAAAAAAAGTAAGTGTGAGCCATGTCCTTTTGTAACCATGGGAACTTCTGAAGGGAGGAAAATGGAAGGGCACCATCATGAGGAAAACAATTACACTGCATTAGTCTGAAGAGAGTGATTTTCCCCTTGACTTCCTCCTCTCTGAGTGGATACACTTCTGAAGGGCAGCAGCCTTTTCCTCCCCTTAACCATGGTTTAATGTGACCTTGGTTAGTATTTCTAAAAGCAAACAGTATTATTTCAGGTGTTGGGAATATATGTGCCTTTCTCCGGTGTAAGCATTTTGATTTGATAATCCTCATTTTATTCCTGTACTCGGGCACTTCAGAATAGCTGGTTTGTCATGCTTATATAAATAGTGCATTCCTTGTAGATGTCCTTTTTTAAAAAAATTCCAAAGAAACATTCCTGCAGGTCAGAGAGAGTATTTGATAAAACTATAGCATTATGACTTTTGAAATGGTATTGGTGTTTGTGATTAGTTGGGGCTCTCCAAGTTTCTGGATGGCAGAACTAGTGACTAATTCGGTACAACTTCGCTTATGAAGACAAACAGAATCACTCCTAGTAGCCACACACATTTTCTACACGAACTAGCTTTCCAACTGGTTCTGTCTGACCCTCCAATTTACAGTATTGTTCTTCTCCTGTGCGACTGATTTTGTAAAGAAATAGACACCAATTAAGTGGTAGAGAGAAGGTCAGACATACCTGGAGGGATGGAAGAAAAGCCGGGTAGCTGGCCTAAGGAAAACAAGACAGGGTTTTGGTAATCCTTGCTAAACATGGCCACCGGAGGAGAGCCACAAAATCTTCAAAACTAATTATGGGAAATCAAATGGAAATTAAATATTGGCTCTCAGGCTAGGGCTGCAACAACAAACACACTGTTCTGACTCACATAGCAGCTGTTCTGCAAGTGGACTATTAACCGGGCATGTACGAGGTTTTATTTTTTTATGTGTGGGAGATTCTCTTGTGTGAGTCAAGGATTTTGTATATTTAAAGCTGCTGAAGCTGTCTTGTTTGGCCTTGCTGCCATTGTCTAAAGTTTGGTGAGCGTTTCAGCACGTGTTCAGCATAGGCCTCCTATTTCCACCCCCCTTTAGGAGATGGATTCGGATACGGCTGATGCAAGCTCAGAACTCAGAATTCATCCCCAAGCGTATTTAGTGCCTTACCTCAATGAAGCTCACAGCACATCCCATAACTTTTCTCTTATTTAGCCCTGGAGCAGTGCTAAGAAGACACTAAGAAACATGGCTTTCCAGACGGATGGTGCTCATGCCAGAGAAATGGGAAGGCTTAAAATTGCTTGTCAAATATTTCAGAGCCTCGAAAGATAATTAATCTCCGTGTTTTGGGCTTCTGACCTTTGGATTAACTTGCATCTCTTAGATTATCATCTTTCTTAATATGTTTATTCAGCCTGTATTACTAAAGTAACTTAGTATTTGGTAGCCACCATTTTTGATATTTTGAACATAATGTCTCGATGCATCTTAAATTCTGAAAGAGTATATGGCTGTTTCACAGAATAACACCCTGGTCAGCAGTGGCTCTACCCTACTGTTTTGAAGAAAGATGTTCTTGGATTGCGCATTTAAAGAACAAATCTATGGGGTCACTAGAAAACTAGTAGATGTGATTTTTTCCCCTTGTGAAACAATGAGAATCATCATTGTAAGGACAATAAAACATTGGTTAAAGGATTTCTGTTGCTCTCCTTTTTGTGAACAATTACAATCTATTCAGGTCTGATTTAAAGATACTTGCCAGAAAACTATGTCAACCACTACAACAATCTGAATTTCTTGCTTTGGGAGTGTAGGACTTGAACGCAGTGACTTTCTCTGTAGACAATGAGAGATGGTCATTATATACCTTCTAGAATACAAGTCAACAGGTGTAGTTTATTTCCTTTGCAATAATATTCCTGTAGAGGGAAAGAGAGACCTCCGAAGTGGGGCTGGTCTCACAAAAGTGACAATGCACAAGATCATTGCTAGCAGAGCAAAGAATCTCTATGTGTTGTCAGTGTGCTTTAGTAATACAGGCAATTTGTAGCCATTCATCCAGCACATGGGAACTGAGCATCCATTCTACTGAAATCCCCAAGCCAGCTATACTCAGGTGGATAATATGCAGTTTCTGGCTTCAATGGGCTGCCTGGTTTAACAGGGCTATGGACATTGTTAACTGTACTGTTGAATAGCATCTGATGATGTGTAAGTACCTTGGGGTATGGTTTGGGACACAGGTAAAAAAATTTTCAGCCAGCTCTCCTATGGTGTACATTATCAGTTCACCCTCTGTCAAGATTCTAGCAAAGTCCTTTGACAAGAAGCCCTAACTCACCTTCTGTGTACTTTGGTTCCTAATTGGCTATGGCTCTCTAGATACATACCTTCCTGCATGTGAGGCTTATTCGTCCAGCCCACTTCCAGTGAACTGTAATTTCCTGGTGCCCTGAGACAATAAGATGGACAGGAATCGAAAAGGTTGGCCACTTCTGAATTCAAGCAAATCTATAGGTATACTATACAATTCACGCTAACTTCTCAATGGAGCCTGCTGGGATTTGGCTGATAATGCAAATAGAGGATCCCGTTAATTATCTTAAATAAATTCCTAGCATTTATATGGTCAAGTTCTGCTCTTGAGGTCCTGAGTCAATCTACTGTGTCATGACGTCATGCATGGGATATAGAAGTGAGAGGCTCTAGACTTAATGGCTAACAAGTGTCTAGTTGTAGCCTGGTGGCCTTCTGTTGGGGTGTTCATTTAAGGATGAGTTTCTAGTTCATGGACTGATCCACAAAATGAGACGGGGGAGGGGGAGAAAGGGAGGGAGAGGGTTTATGTAAGTATGCATGTATATAAACTCATGGTTTGAAGGAAATATGACTATAAATGAGAGAGTTTATCACAGAATGATTTCTAGGTTGTGGTTTAAGAGAGACATTTCCTCTGCAGACAGAGGAAAGAGACACAGAATCTTCCTTACCATGGTTTATGTAACTTAGATTTCAAGAGACTCAAGAGGTACTGAATTTCTTTAGATTTTCAGGTATGTATCTAAGTAGCCCTCATCAAAATCTGAAGGAGGCTGATGTGTTTAGTTAGGCTAAGGATATTTTTGCATGCCTTTCCAGTTTACCTGATTTCTCTAGTGATTAAGGCCACATTAGTTATAGAAACAGACAGTCTTAAAGGCTTAGCCCAACTTAAGTTATATTGTTTTCATTACATGCATAATGGAGATTAATGATTATTGAACTTTCCTCCCCCAGTTGGCAACCCAGGCTCCTTCAATACAGTGATTGTACAATGTTCAAGACCCAATTCGATACATGCTCATAAACAAGAGGCTGATGGGAAGGAAATGGCCATGGAGAATGGAAGATTAGTTCTGGTCCCGGGGCATGGTTTACATTACTTCTGTTTCTGTTCTATTGGCTAAAACTCAGTCATGTGGCTGAAGTCAATCTTTGGGGCAGATGCATCATATAGTGTAGTGCGGCCGGCTGTGTGCCCAGTACGAAGAGCCAGGGGGTTGGTTGGCCTCTCTGCTGCTGTTGGGTGCCTTTGGAAGTGAAATTTAGGACAGTAACTTTGCACTCTTCTGAGTTTAGAAGATTGCTTTTGAACACAGCACAATGAAAACTGCAAATGCTATTAGTAGCCTGCAGTTTCTTCTGTAGGAGTCTTTTTAATTAACAGCTTAATTGGATAATTTAATCCCCTTTAGAATTGGAGATATGAAAAGGAAAATGAGATACTCCCTGGGATCTGACAATGCCCTGCCTTACTAACATACCAAAGTGAGTTGGGAGCTGAGCACCACAGAAGCATCCCAGTAACTTCTGATCAGAGAGAGAAAGCCTGATCTATAATTGTAATCATTTCTAAATGCTTTAGATACATGTTTAATTTGAATGTGTACTTTGTTT